CTTTTCATACATTTAAAACTTTTCTTAAGATGATAATGCTAGGGCCGGGCGGTGGTGGCGCACTCGGGAGGCAGAGCCAGGCGGATCTCTGTGAGTTCGAGGCCAGCCTGGGCTACCAAGTGAGTTCCAGGAAAGGCGCAAAGCTACACAGAGAAACCCTGTCTCGAAAAACCAAAAAAAAAAAAAAAAAAAAAAAAAAAAAAAGAAAAGAAAAAGATGATAATGCTTTAAAAGCCAATTTGGGGGCTGGAGAGATGGCTCCGGGTTAAAGAACACTGGCTGCTCTTCCAGAGGACTCAAGTTTGGTTCTCAGCATCCACATGGCAGCTCACAACCATCTGCAACTTCTGATGCCTTCTGACCTCTTCAGGTACCAGGCACCAAGTGGTACACATACAGACAGACAGACAGACATAAAAATAAAATAAATCTGAAACAAACAAAACTAACTTGGATCTTTCCACTAGTTTTTAATATTTCCATGCCAAAAATATTCAAGTGATAAAGTAACTAGATAGTACTTTTGAATCATTTTCCTCAGTGTATTTTATCAGAAAGCAGGGGTCCTATCTATTTTCACCTCCTACAGTGGAAGACCTGTCTGAAACCAGACAGAGATCCAACCTTGTCTCTTATTAGAAGTGACTGAGTGGCTTGGGCCAGGTCCCTTAACTAAGAAATGTAGATAACATGGAAGTCTCAGGGGAGGATTAGGTAAAAATAGTGTATACGCAACTTTTACCTAACATCTAGTAAACATCTGCACTGTAACTACTGACCACCATAAATTAATGTAATCAATCTATTAGACTAACATAATACAGCCATTTAATATTAGAGAAGGAAAAATCTAGCCCCTGAATAACTCAACAAAAACAAAACATAATTCCCTAAGTTAACTCCATCCCAGAAACATAAAGCTTTAGAATTCTTTAGGACCTTAACATAAAAAGCTAAGAAAGCCCAGTTTAATCTTGCTAAAATAGAATTAAGAGCAATTTACTCAGAAAAATCTTCACTGGTTCTTCATCTACAAAAAGCCTAAGTTGTTTTACAACTTCACCGTGTCCTTCCAGGATGGGAATTCAACTTTCTCTTCTCTACATCACACTACCTCCTATTTGCCCTCTCCCAAACACACATGCCCTCTCCACTGTCCCTTCTGGAATGGCCGTTCCCTCCACCTCCACCTGGGCCTCAGCTGTCAACTAGACCTTGAGGTCGTCTGACTCCATGCTCCTTAAGAGCAAAGAGCGTTGTACCATCCACACGGTCGTAATTCTCATATTAAACCTTATCCATAGTAAACACACACATCCCTGGGGTTTAGATAGTGAAACACTAACTTAAGGTCATCATAAGGGGCATTTTCATCTATGATGTACACACACCTCATCGCCTAGGGCAGAACTCAGCATCTTCTATGTATGTTATGTTACAAATGCTGAGCAAGCACGTTATCACTGTTACACCCCCCCAGCCCATATCATTTCACTTTCACTTCATCAAAAAATTGAGAGGCGTTGACATAATAATAAGCTCATCATTGGCCTATAATCATCACTATGACAAGTATGGAACACAGAGTCCCAGATTCCAGGCTATACTGCTGTCACTGCCTGCTTTCTCTGTCTGTCTGTCTGTCTGTCTGTCTCCCCTTGCTTTCTTTTTTTGTGTGTGGGGGTATACCTCATGTATCTATCTATCTATCCCAGAGTGGTCTTGCGCTCACTATGTAGCTATGAATGACCTTAAACTTCAGGTCCACCTCCTGAGTGCTGTGATTACAGGCTTGCACACCTTGCTTACATGGTACTGGCGATGGAACCCAGGTCCTAAAGCCAGACAGGTAAGCACTCTACTAACTGAGCTACATCCCAGGCCTCTCCAGCTATTTTCGATAGAGGATAATCTTGCTTTCAAGATTCATACTTAGTGAATAGAAGATAAAATATAATTAAAAAAAAATTGTGAGCCAGGTGGTTGTGGAACACACCTTTAACCCAGCACTCAGGAGGCAGAGGCAGGTGGATCTCTGTAAGTTTGAGGCCAGCCTGGCCTACAGAGTGAGTTCCAGGACAAACAGAGCTGTTACACAGAGAAACGCTGTCTCAAAAAAAAAAAAAAAAAAAGGCTGAGACACTGGTGCAAAACTACAACTGCAATACTTACAAAAACACAGACTTATTTTGCTAGGAGAAAACCACACGTTCAAATGAAGGCCTGAGTTGGGGAGATGGCTCAGTGGGTAGAGCACTTGATGTACAAGCCTGAAGACCTGAGTTCAGATCCCCTAAATCCACATCAAGAACGACACAGTAGTCCCATCTATAAACTCAGTGCTCCTACAGTGAGAGGCTGAGACAAGAAAACTTCCAGAAGCTCATGGAGGTGGCTAGGCTGCTCTACACAGCAGCAAAGGGGATCCTGCTTCAAGAACCAACACCCAACGTTGTCCTGTGACCTCCACACACAGAGGCATGCACAATATACACACCCACAAGAAACAAAGGCCGCATTGCTCGACTCACCCCAGTTTCTGTTAATTCTTCTTTTATATCCTTTCCCCTCTTCCAATTAGTGCCTGATACACTGCCGGCCCTTCTCTGTTATCTCAAATAACTCACACAGGAAAGTGCTCTGAATTGCTAAGTAGCTACTTTAGATGCTTGGATATAATTTTGAGCAATTTTGAGCACTTAATTTAGGAATTGAGCAAACTATCCCTATCAATGTACTTTCTTCTGTAAAGTGATTGATAACTTAGGCCCCTCAAATATGGGTTCTCTGAAGACCCTTGTCACTCAAAAGGCAATTTAAAATCTGTTTAGACCACTAAATTAAATGTGAAGCATCTAGTGTCACCTAATCCAGCTTCTTTTTTATATAGAACTTGATTCTAGCAAAGTTAGTTTTCTAGGAATTTATATAGCAACAATAATTTAAATTGAGGCTCATGACCCAAAACAATGCTAAATTTGCTGCCCATTATACAATTTTTTAAATTAATTAACTAATTTGTTTAGGGCCTCTTTTGTGTGTGTGTGATAGGTTCTCACTATGTAGCTCTGGCTGTCCCAGAGCTCACTATGCAGACCAGGCTGACCTCAGGTTCACAGAGATCCACCTGCCTCTGCCTCCCAAGTTCTGAGATTAAAGGTGTTTAACACTATGTCCAGCATTTTAATCTCTTGAAGCAGATATTGCTATTTTCAAGTAAGACCTGCTCAGATAAAATTACCCAGTTTTGTTGTTGTTGTTGTTTTGATTTTTTTTGTTACCCATGCAGCAAATCAAGGATTAGAAGTTGGTTCTTTCTGGGTCTGGAGCCCTATTTCAGTGGTTAAGAATGGCTCAGTGCTCTTCCCAAGGACCCTTGTTCAATTTCCAGCACCCAAGTCTGTCTGTCTGTCTCTCTCTCTCTCACACACGAACAATTGTTTTTTAAAAAAAATAAAGTTGGTTCTTTCTTGCAGTTTATGTTATTGAAAAGCAAGTTCCAAAAGTTAACATTTGTTGTTGTTTTTTGAGACAGGGTTTCTCTGTGTAGCCCTGGCAGTCTCAGAACTCTCTGTAGATCCGCCTACCTCTGCCTCCAAAGTGCTGGGATTACCACCCAGCCCCAAAATGAGCTTTTAAGGGCAAGCACAGCTATGTGAACTGCACAGAAACCAGAGGATTTGTAGTTATTCACAACAAACTCTAAAATCAAGCCAGTGACTCAAGAGACAGTGATTCCAAACTCATTACCAACTCCTCAGCTAGAACACGGTAAGGTCTGAACCCCTTGTGCAATGGCCGTGAACAGTTCAAGGGTAAACTTTCTAAATAAAAAACCAAAAAATACAATGAATGTACAGGAACCATTTAATGTTCGGGAAATGTTCATAGAATTTCACTAGTTTGTACAATTAAAGTTACTTAAAAATAAAACTACCTTAACATGGATCACAATGAATAACCCAACTTCAGCTGGTAAAGTATGTGATCTGAAAGTACTCTCTCTGGGACACCGTCATAAACAGGCCCTTCTGGAATGCACATGGAACCTGGCAACCACTTTTAAAGTTGCATTTGCCCTTATCTCTCTGTCTTTACTTTCCCATGCAAGACCTAAATACCTTTAAGAATCAGGTTATTTAGTCCAGTTCTTTCCCACTGACCAAATCTTTGAGTGGTACCTCCACTGTTAACCACATGAATCACCCAGTTTTTTTTGCCTTTTAAAGAAAAAAGGAAGAAAACCACCACACACCGGAATTTTGCTTTAAAAAAGTTAAGTTGTGGTGGTGGGGAGGGGGGAGGGGGAGAGTGGGAGAGGGGAAGGGGGAGAGGGAGAAACAGGAGGGAGGGAGGGAGGGAGGGAGAAAGGGAGAGTGTACTTTTGGGCCTTACTCTTCAGAGTTCACTTACAAGGTAAAATTTCATAGTGGCCACTATTTACTTACACAAGCAAAAGGGTATAAATGAACTCAGTATTTTACTTTCTCCTCCGCCACATCCCTACCGCCGAATGATCATGTCCTGTCCTATACACGCTCACAGTTTCCAAGAAGGCTAGAAAAGGTATATTTGGGACCCATAGACAATTTCCTTCCACTAAGATAAAAAGGTTTAAAAAAAAAAAAAAATCGGTCTGATGTGGCGAGCCACGGGAAACGGACAAACAGGGGATAGAGAGCAACGAAAAGGAGAAAGCCATCCCGGAACCGGAGCCCCTGGGAGCGCGCGCTCCTCCTCCCACTCCAGGTCACCGATACCGGAGAACTTAAACCAGGTAACAACGCCCCAGCAACCTCAGGCGACGCGGGCTGCTAAACCAGGGTTCCAGGCCCCTCAGGGGTGTGACCGAGGGGCGGGGGGGGGGGGACAGACCGGGAGTGACAAACTCCGGGTGCCGCCAAGGACGGAGCGGCGCTCCGGTCACCCCGGCCTCAGCTCGGGTGGGTGGGGCAGGCCCGGGCGGCCCGCGGCCCGGCAGGGGCGAGGGAGCCGCTCACTTTTGAAGAAGCGCAGCGCCAGGCCGTACAGCTCCTCCAGGCCGAAGCCCCAGTGCTGCTCCATCCGCCGCGCCTCCTCGGCCGCGCCCTCGGCCGCCGCCTCCCCGGGCTCCGGCGGCTGCCCCGCGGCGTCTGAGCCCCGGCCGGCCGCGGGGGGCGAGGACGGCGGCGGCGGCGGCGGCGGCAGCAGCGGAGCGCCCTCCGCGCCGGGCCGCTCCTCCGAGTCCGGGCTCAGCGTGAGGCCGTCGAGCGACACTTCGAGCTGCTCTACGTTCAGCGGCGCCGCCATCTCCGCTCGCAGCGCCTCCTCGGCGGGGACAGGCGGCGGCCACGTATCGACTTCCTGCTGACCTCTCACCTCCGCTCGCCGACACCGGAACTTCCGCTGCCGAGGCGGCCCGGGTGGGAAGGCGCCTGGTGCCCCGCCCCCGGGCGTCTGGGTCGCGCCCCTGCCGCGTCTTCCGCTCGCTCGGGGCCCCCGCGCCCCTCTCTGAGCTCGCCTTTCTCTTCTGCCCCGGCGCTTGTCCCGCAGCGGCGTCCCCGGGGTTCCCGCGTGGATCGGGGGCGCGGGAGGGGGTCGACGCGCCGTGTCCCGGGCGGTGGCCGAGCGCACGTCCGACCCTGCAAAGGGACGTCAGTGAAGAGTCGCTCCTGGCAGGGCTCTCTGCCCGCCAGTTTCTGTTCGTCTCCACGGAGACGCCGAGGAGATGCAGGGCAAATGACAGTTTTTATTCCTAAGTAGAAAGCAGGGTTCTCCTTCCCCAGAGTGTTCGTTCTCACCCTCCCTTAACTTACGATCACGCTGCTAAGGGGGGGGGGGGAGGGGGGAGCGTATTTGCTGTGTAGCTCAGGAGTCTGCCCTTGAACTCACTCTGTAACTCTAGTCTCCTGCTTCAACCTCCCAAGTGTTTTGACTCCAGGTGCACACCACTGGGACCAGCACTAAGGACCGTGTGAGGCCAAGTCATTCAGCTACCCGTGCCACGAAAGTGTAGGGCCAGAGGACAGAATCCAGGCAGTGTCGGGTACAGGAAAGGACGAAGGTAGTTAAGGAGAAACAGGCTTGACAGTACATAGCGGTCTCTTTTCTGGGTTTTGGTGTTTGTTGTTGTTGTTTTGTTTTTTTGGTTTGGTTTGGTTTGGTTTTGGCTTTTCAAGACAAGGTCCCTCTGGCTGTCCTAGAACTCAGATCCACCTGCGTCCACCTCGAGTACTGGGATTAAAGGCGTTTGCCGGACTGGTTTTGTTTCTGAGACAGAGTCCAGAGCTACATAACTCTGGCTGTCCTGGAACTCACTATGTAGACCAGACCAGACTGGCCTTGAACCCAGAGATCCACCTGTTTCTGCCCACCCAGAGTGTTGGCGTTGAAGGTATGCCCGACCTTTTGTTTGTTTGTCTGTTCCTTGGCAGAGTCTCCCAGTCACTAAAAGGGAAAAATTGTAAGCTTTTCCTGTATCATACACTGGACAAGCACTCCAGCCTAATAAGAATGTTGTATTGAGTGAATGACTGAATGAAGGCACACTTCAATTACATTCAGTATCAGTTCAGGTCAACACACATTAAAGACGACCTTGTGTATCAGGTACTGTGGAAAATACAAAGGTGAGTAGTTGTGGTGTCCAACCCCAAGGCATCATGCATGGTCCAGGAGGTGAGCCCATGCCAGAGCACTGTAGTAGGACCAGGCTGCTGGAAGGTATTACTGCCTCTGACTCTGAGCAGGTTTCCTAACTTGTCTCCTGCCTTGTAAGATGGAAATAAGCACATCCTCCACCTCTTTGTTGAGAAGACTGGACTCATGAACCTATCTGATATAAAATTAATCACTCTTGTGACTGTGGGCCTAACACTGGTGCTTACTGATACTAGCTGGTGCTAAGAAGAGGTTCTGAGATGTGTTCCAAGTTCACAGCCATTCCTGTCCCTTGTGACAAGACACCGTCCAGGCTGTAACCTATCACAGGCTATATAAAATGAGAGATTGAGGACGTTATCTGTCCGGTCACTTCTCTCAGTCTGTTTCTGCACTATCACTACATTACCACATACTGGGTGGCTTATAAATAACAGTCCTTTGTTTCTCACAGTTCTGACGGCTAAGAAGTTCAAGATCAAGACACTGGCTGTTTAGAAGGCTGGTTGTTGTGTAATAGTTTCCTCCAAGATTAAAACAGTCCATCCTGCAGGAAGCTCCTTAAAGCAGGAAGATGTACAACTCAAAACAGCTTCCGAAGTCCCTGAAACTGACTAGATTCACGAGGCCCCTCCCTGCCCGAGTATACAGTTAAAGCTGAAATACCCCTCAGATCTAGAGAGCTGTGCTGTAAAGTCTCAGACAAACCAAGCTGCCAAGAAAACCAGCCGTCCTGCCTGGAAGAGGTTTAGACCAACTGAGGCACCTGGAGGGACCCTCTTCCACCTGCTGGGCTGCCCGCAGGCTGTGCAGTGTGCTGCAGGATCCTGTCTTTGTGAGCTGTCACCCGCGCTGGGGTGGGCCTTGGTGATACAGCTGTCTTTGAGTCGTTTCTGCCCCGTATTCCTGTAAGTAATTTCAATAAAACTTACGGTTCACCAAGTTGGACTTTGGTGGTATCCGTACTTTGTCTGCCATGGGCTCCAATCAGGGGTGAGTAGACCTGTGTGGTGCATCTTCCCAGGAAAGGCTTTGTCACACAACACTGGTAAGGGCCCACTTTCTGCTCCCCAGGCATCCAGGTCTTGCTGTATTCTCTCATGGTAGGAGGAGCAGGACAGCTCCTTGGGGCCTCTAATGAAGGATGATTATTTTATGCGGGCGATACCCTTGTGACCAATCACCTCCCCCAACACTCTTCCTTATAGTGCCATTACATCAGGTTAGATTTTAACATGAATTTGGGGGAACGTGACATTCAGTCTGCAACACCACAGCAGTGTGTGTGTGTGTGTGTGTGTGTGTGTGTGTGTGTGTGTGTGTGTGTGTGTGTTTATACAGAAGAAGAGGCTGGACATTGCAGCAAACAGCTGTCATTCCAGGATGGGGAGATGAAGGTAGAAGGATCGAGAGTTTAAGGCTGGGCTGGAGAGATGGCTCAGCGGTTGAGAGGTCTTCCAGAGGACCCGGGTTCAATTCCCAGCACCCACATGGCAGCTCACAACTGTCCGTAACTACGGTTCCAGGACTTCTGACACCCTCACACAGACCTACATGGAAGCAAAATACCAATGCACATAAACTATAAATTGAACAACAACAACAACAACAAAACCTTTAAGATCATCCTCTGCTACAAACTGAATTTAAGGCCAGCCTGGGCTCCCTGAAACATACACGCCCACACCCACACCCCACACCACGCCGCTATCTCTGTATCTAGAAGAGGCAGAACTCGTTTCTTCTCTGGTTTTATCGTGCAGTGTTAGTAGGTTTAGGTTTTCTCTTCAAAAGTGTTCCAGAAGCTCTGCAAGGTGAGCGATAAGATGGAATTTCCAGTAGCTGACACCGTTCCTCTCTGCCCGCGTGCACAGAACAGCCTCTCTCTCTTATATTTGAGACAGCTTTCTTAGTATCTCAAACTGGCCTCACACTCACTGTGTAGCCCACACTGGTCTCAAACTTAGGCAATCCTCCTGCCTCAGCAGTGCTGATGTTACAGGTGCGTGCTACCACACTGCACTTGGCATTTGTCCCCTCCCTCCCTCTTTTTCCCCCCTCCCTTCCTTCCTGCTTGCTTTCTGAGACAGAGTCACATGTAGCCCAGTCTGGTCTAAAATTGCTATTTACTGAAGCATGCATTGAACTATTATTTTGTTCATTTGCGCATGTCAGGGTCAGGGAACAGCTTGTTCTCTCCTGCCATGTGGGGCTTAGTGATCCAACTTAGGTTCTCAGGCCTGCAGCATAGCCTTTACCCACTGGCCCATCTCACTGGCTCAGCACTCAACACTAGATCCTCTTCCCTCGACCTCCCGAGTATTGGATTGCAGAAAGTGTTTTAAAAATTCAGTTTTTCTCTTTTTGGAAACAAGGTCTCATTTGCCTTATCCAGGATGGCTTCAAACTTCTGGGGCCAAGTCATCGTCCTTCCTCTGCCTCCCCAGTAGCAGGGACAACAGATGTGTATCACTCCACTTGGCTCAAAACATTCTTTTTGGCCCAGCAATGGTGGCTTTTAATCCCAGCACTCGGGAGGCAGAGGAGGCGGATCTCTGTGAGTTCAAGGCCAGCCTGGTCTGCATAGTGAGACTGGGTCTCAGACAAATAGCAAAAACAAAATCACAAAAGGAAGAGGAAGAAGGAAGAGAGGAGAGGGGAAGGGAAGGTGAGGAGGAGGTGTAAGGGCTTCTTTTCTAGGGAGCCATTCAAGACAGTCCAAGGCCCAAGCGTAAGCTTCAAGGTTCCTCTGCGCCACCTGCTGCCTAGCAGCGGTAGTGCTGCCGTCAGCTGGGCAGAATGGGGCTGTCAGCTACTCCACCGACTCCTGGTGGGAGAAGAGGGGGAAGCCAGCAAGGGGAGGTGAAGCTCTGTGCTGTGAACGTGCCTGGGAGCCAGACAAGCACAGTCAAGGGCTGGTCGGCCCCAGGTAGTATTCTATGGAGGACAAAATTTTTCTAAATGTTCCTAATAAGCTCTAAAGTTCAGCCGGGCGGTGGGGGTGAACACCGTTAATCCCAGCACTTGGAGCAGGCAGATCCCAGCAGAGGCAGGCAGATCCTTGTGAGTTCAAGGCCAGCCTGGTCTACAGAGTGAGTTGCAGGACAGCCAGGGCTACACAGAGAAACCCTGTATCGAAAAAAAATAAGAAAATAAAAAAATTAAAAAAGAACTAAAGTTCAACAGCACATGGTCAGATGATTTAAGCTTCATTATGTGTGTGTCTTCATGTGTATATGTGCACATGCATGTATGTATCTGAGTGTGTGTGCACACATGATCATGTGTATGCATTTGCATGTATGTATGTGTGCATATGTGTGTAGCATGCATAGATATGAGTGAGGAGTGTACTCTGGAAAGCCAGAGAAGAACATTGAGTACCCTCTTCTATCACTGTTTACCTTATTCCTTTGAGACAGGGTCTAACACTGAAGCCCCAGTTCTTTCTGGATCATCCCCACAGCTCCCACAGCACCTGCATGGCCACACACAGCTTTTTTGTTTCTTAAGACAGGTCTCACTGTGCAGCCCTGACTGGCTTGGGACTCTCTATGTAGACCAGACCAGGCTGGCCTTGAACTCACATGAACTCTGCCTTTGTCTGCACCCAAGTGCTGGGATTAAAGGTATGTAACCACTACGTATGGTCCTCAGCGATTTTTTTTTTAATGTGGTGCTGGAGTCGCTGGAGTCCAAACTCTTACCCAATGAACCATCTCTCATGAATAAAAGCATTCTCGTTTTGGAAGTACTTGAAGTTAAGCCTAGAGCCTCAGACTTGTGAAGCAAGCACTCTCCCATTGGCTACTGTGACAGGCCTTTAACGAGAACATTCTTCAAGGGGCTCTGTCCTTGTGAGGCCAGGGTCTATATACAATGCACTTCTGGATACCCACACACACACTCCCACGCCACATCACCTACGGGAGCTCTCAGAATGTTAGTAATGGTTAGTAGTTTTATTTCACACTTACTCTGACATGCTTGATCTAACTTCCTACTCAAAAACTTCTCTCAAGCTGGGTATGGTAGCACAAACCTGACCTATCCTCTTATCCCCTCGTAAGAGCTCTAGGATTATAGACATGCCCCGGGCTTCATGTGGATGCTAGTCATTTGAACGTAGCACATTAACAATGTTTTTACCATCTCGCCACCTCTCAGTCCTGTGTAGCACATATCTGCAATCCCACCACTCTGGAGGTAGAGGCAGGAGGATAGGGAATCCAAGGTCACCTTGGCTATATAGTGAGTTTGAGGCCAGTCTGGACTGCCTGAGCACAAAGCCCTGTCTCAGACAAAACAGAACAGATCTCTTTAGATAGGTGTTAGGGCCTCCTTCTAGGAAGTGAAAATGGAAAAGGAGATCTATAACAATAGAACATTAGTAGTAGAGAGGTGAGCTGGTTCGCGCAGCTTTAGAGGCAGTCCACCACTATCCTAGCTGTGTGATTTGGGGCATGGTACATAGGCACTCCGTGCCTGTTTCTACATCTACAAAATGGAATGTTATCTACAGAACCTAATCAGAACACAGAACAAACAATACTTAACACATGCAGCCCCACTTAGAAGAATGACCAGCATAGAGGACTTTCTATCAATGTCAGCACTGTTACTATTACTGTTTTTACAGAACCCTCCCAGAGTCTTGAGTCAACAAGAGGATGAGAAAAATCCTAATACCAAATCTCCAGACCCACACAGCCCAGCCTCTGCTCTGGGTGTGGCCTTCTGCAGGAACAGCCCCAGGGCCCTGTGCAAGAAAGCAAGTTTTTGTCAGGTCTGATAGTGATGCCCTTCACCCCGGTGCTTACAAGGCAGAAGCAGAGGCAGATATATTCCTGTGAGTTCAAGGTTAGCCTGCTCCACATACAGCAAGTTTCAGGCCAGCCAGAGTTACATAGTGACATCCTCCCTTTAAATACAAATGACAGAACTGGGCATAGTGGCGCACGCCTTTAATTCCAGCACTCGGGAGGCAGAGGCAGGTGGATCTCTGTGAGTTCGAGGCCAGCCCGGTCTACAGAGTGGTTCTAGGATTGTTACACAGAGAAAACTCTGTCTCAAAAAACAAACAACAACAACAACAACAAAAACCCAGAAAGAAAAAAAAAAGCAAGCATTCCTATTTCTCTCTAGTATGTGCTATATACTTCATATTTTAAAAAAGATTTTTTTTTTATGTATACATGTGTACACCTGCATGAGTTTCTGTTCACTGAATAAGTGCAGATGCCCTTGGAGACCAGAAGAGGGCATCAGATCCTTTGGAACTGGAGTTATATGAAGTTGTAAGCTCTCTGACATGGTGCTAGGAGCTGGTCCTCTGCAAGAGGAAGTGCTCCTGACCCCTGAGTCATCTCTCCAGCCCCACACTTCATATTTTATCCAAGTCTTTTTACTATACATGTAATTTTTTTTTGGCATAGGAGGTATTTTAACATAGGAAAATACAAAGAAACAATCCCATAGGGTTTTGTCACCAGAGAGCTTCCATCAATTATAGGTTCTGTCAATGCTGTTGAGGTGATTTTTGATGAGACGTCCAGCCAGCAGAGGTGGCAGATGAGAAACAGAGGCTACTCCTCTCTCTGCCTGAGGCTGCCCAGGAGAGGACACCGTTAAAATCCCATCTCTTGAAGATTTTAATGCAGACAGCTCTCAGAAGTGTGCAAAGAGAGAGACACAAAGTATAGGAACTAGTGAGTGTTGTTCATAAGAGCCAAGTGACGTGCATTGTGGAACATCTGTTCAGTGATGTTCTAATTGCTCTAAGGATGCAGGGAGCCTGGAAAGGCTCCAAATACATGAAGGCACAGTGTGGCTTTATAGAATCATTCTTTTTGTTATTGTTGGGTTTCATTTTTTTTGAATCAAGGTCTTGCTATGTAGCCTGGCTGGCCTGGAATTCCACATGTAGCAGGTTCACTTCAAAC